ACATAAATTCAGTAAATTGGAAACAAAGGTTGACACACATGTAATGAAATTAAAACGACATATAGCAAGTTCATGCATTTGTAAAAGGATTTAAGAGAAACAGAAACCGTAAAATAAAATGAGGATGGAATCGATAACGAAAAATAAAATAAATAAATAAATAAATAAAGGACCAAAAGTATAATTAAAGAAGTAAAAATGAAAAGGAAAATGTGTTGAATGTTGATGTTAAAAGAGATTAAAACATAGAAATGTTGTTTATACATAGGAATTAAAATTAACAATTTTTAAATGTAGGGACCAATAGGTTAAAATAATCCCAAGCAAAATGATCAAAATATAAAATTAAAAAAAAAAGAAATTTTTTAAGAATAAACATTAAAATGTAAAACACAACACATGTTAAGTACTGACATATCAATTAGTGTACGTCAGCTACATTTAACAACATTAACATTTTTTATTGGTAGGAATTAAAAGTAATTTTTAAGTGTTTGTATACGAGGACTAAAATAAATTATTTAAAAAAAAACTACCTCAATAATATAATAAATAACTCAATTTATAACTTTTCAATGGTTAAAATCATCTATATATATTATTTTAGATTAATGTTAGAGAACTAACATATATCATATAACAATATACAACATAACACTAGTGCAAAAAGAGCCTTTTACGTCACCTAAATTACGTCGGAATAGGTTAACACCGACGTTATAAAAATGCGATGGCAGAATGGTAAATAAAGAGAGCTAATTTACGTCGGCCTGGTGGGGGTCCAACGTAAATTATCAATTCTACGTCGGAGCAGTATACAAGCCGACGTAGAATTGTTAATTTACGTCGGACCCCCACCAGGCCGACGTAAATTAGCCTCGTATTCCCGCATAAAAGAATCGTTCACGTACGCATGGAAAATTCAAAATTTTCAACCCAAACTCATCTCCCGCTTCCTTCTCAAATCGTGGCTCTTCATTGATCTACATCTTGCTCTTTTCTTCGTTTTCTTCACTTTTCTTCACAGCAAGGTACTCATTTGCTATTTTCGTTTTCTTCACATGACACAATGTTTTCTCACTGAAAAAAATGGATTTTTTCATGTTTAAGGTTGCATTTCTCCTCGTGAGGGTCTTTAAGGTAACTCATCTTCTTCTACTTACTACTTTCTTCGTGCATTCTGAGTTTTCGAAGCTGAGTTTTTGTGCATTCTATTTTTTTCCCAGCAGAACGGGCCGTTCTGGTTGGAGAACGGCCCGTTCTCCCAGCAGAACGGGCCGTTCTCCATGAAGAACGGGACGTTCTCCGTTTAGAACGGGACGTTCTCCATTCAGAATGGCCCGTTCTGCTTGGAGAACGGGCCGTCTGCTTGGAGAACGGGCCGTTCTCCAACCAGAACGGCCCGTTCTGCTTGCAGTCATTCTTCTTTTTTTTTAAATTTTTTACAACTTTTTACGTCGAACTTTGTAATGTCCGACGTAAATTTACGTCGGTTTTCGCGCCCCCGACGTAAAATTTACGGCTCCCGCTTCTACGTCGCACCGTTTTCCGACGTAAAACCCCTTAAAATGACCGACGTAAAATCTATATTCTGTACCAGTGTAAGCACTCTTATTTATGTATATTATGTTCAACATATAGCTAAAAACAACATATTTTCACCAAACAACTCACACGTGCCCATTGTCATTCTTCCCATGCCCGACATAAATGAGACAGAGAGAAACTTTGGCTCGCTCACGTCCAACATTACCAATCTCGTGTTCAACATTAGTAAGGAAATGAGTCCATGTGACAATTATGTCTAACATGGTCAAACCCATGTCAGACCCCATTTCAAGCACAAAGCCTTTGTCCACTCACGTTTGACATCACAACACTAGTGTCCATTGTCATTTAGACAAAGTGTTTTTGTCTTGATCACACTTGGCGTCATTCAACTAGGATCCAACTTTACTAAGTCAGAGAACTCTAAAGGCCTTCACTCACAACACCATTTAACCCATGTTCGACGTCATCAAGTTGGAGAGTTCTCTTTAACTCACATTTGACACAAACAATCTTACACCTGACATAAGTGAGAGAAAGAGCCTTTGACTTGTATCACACCCGACGTCTTAAAATTATGCCCAACACGATAGTAAAATCTACACTTGATAGAATCACAAAATTAGCTCACTTCACCTAAAATTTAGGAAAACCAAGCATGCAATATAGAACAAAACATGTATACATATAAGGAAACTCCTTTCTATTCTCAAAATCAACATTCAACCATAATCAAACACAATACTCATCATATCTTTCAAGAGTGGTAAAGCATGCAAAACTCAACAACTCCAATTTTCTCTCATGATTGATGATTCAATTCAATCAACAATTCATAGGAGAAGTACAACATAAATCAGCAACACTCAACTTCATAAATCAACAAATAATTGAATTTTAACTCCTCTTACCTCTAACTCCAAGAGGAAAAAAGGAAGAAAGAAGGAAAAAAGAAGCTCTTCCGGAAACTCCATTGGGAACCACCACCACTCGATTCTTAACCTTGTGTGCCTTGAATCTTAATATCACTCTTATAACTGAGTTTGGGAAAAGATCATTACACTCTAAAAAAAGTCTCGAAGAAGAAGGACACTCACAAATTCTAGAACTTCCCTCTCCAACTTTCCTTTAATTTCCTTAAAATTAATACAACAATAGATTTTTATTGAACACTATACAAGTTTTAAAATTACAATATAAAACCATTAAATTCTTTAACTATTTATAATTAGGCTAAATTATATTTTTGTCTCTTTATTTTTATTCATTTGTAATTTTAGTCCTTTAATTTTAAAATAGAGACATTTAATCTCCTATTTTTAAAAATATAATTTTATAATCATAACATCAATTTGATATTTATTAATAATTAAATTATGGGATTTTTCTGGTGATCTGATACCATTTAAGTGATGTAATATTTATAGACATGATGCATGCTTAAAAATTAAAAAAAAATAACATACAAAAAAAGTCATTTGTAAATATTTTTACAAGTAATTAATATTTTTTTAATAAAAATATTATTTTCCATTTTTTAGTTATTTTTTATTTTAAATATCATATTAAATATAGCTTAAAATTAAAACATAACGATTAATATAGATGACAATTTGATGGAATGACCAAAATTTTATATTTAAAATTAGAAAAACTAAATATTTTAATTTTATAATAAAAATTAAATTATAAATTAATAAAAATAGAGAAAAAAAATTAGCCTTATAATTATTAATGCAAGGATCATTACTAGAAAAGTGTTATTTTTCTACAAATTTTCCTACAAAAAAATATTCCCAACTTTTTTTATGATTTTTCTTGCAATAATAATTTTACAATTTTTTTTTGCAAATTTATTTATGAAAAATAATTTACAAAAATTTCTTATAAATTTTTTTATGAAAAATAATCCACAAATTTTTTTTGCAAATTTTTCTACAATTTTAATGATCATAGAGATATTTTTTCACGATAAAAATTTGTAGAAAATGTTGTAAGAATTTTATCTTGTTTCTTGAAAATTTTCTTGTAAAAATAAATTCTTAAGTAATGTTTACTAAATGTTAAAAAAATTTCGCAGGTAACTTTTCTTGCAAATTTTAATTCGTAAGAAAAATAATATATATATAT